TTAAAAAACAAATACCAAATGACCCCTTTGATATAAGGGGAGTAAACAAGGACAGGGTAGGATCTTAAAATTACCATAATCTTGGAAAAGATATTGGTATGCTTTGTGAATCCTTCCAGGTTTAATCATATACCTCATATTAAGGGGAGATAAATAGGGAAGGATTTCTTTTCACTTAGGGAATACCAAATAAATTTTAAAGTACTTAATTCAGTTTTATATTTTACTTGTGTAACATGATTTTGGCTATATTTAAGCCTTGTTTTCCCAGTTTTAATGTTGTTGGTGTTATTGTAAATGCTCTAGTCGATATTTTTTGCAAAGTTCACTGATCTGAGAATTATGTTTATAGTTTTCACAATACACCCTAGGCTTTAAAACAGAGGTAGCATTGGTAGAGCAATTGTCAACAAATTCTAGAAAATGACTTCAACAAAACATGGAAGAGCCTAAATTCTCTAATGTTCCAACACAAATTTTAAGAGTCAAAAATCCTTTTTATATTTAGGGTTACAGACTCATATCAATAATACTCTGCAGGTGTTAGCAAACTTAGTTTCATTAGAGTTGTTGATCTAGAAACATTCAAATCCCACAACTAATCCATTTAATTCATACTCATAAGCTTCCCCCCCCCCCCCGTGTGTGTGGGGAGAGGTACTAGGGGTTGAACCCTAGAACCTTGCATATCGGAGACAAGTGCTCTAAGCTATCTCACCAGCCCTCATTTAATCATTTAATTTATGTTCTGATTAAATTTAGTAGGAAAAGTCATATGCTTTAACATAATCATTTAGGTTAAAATTGATCATCCTTTCGTAGTTTTAGTTCTTCCACACCCAATTCCCATTCTTTAATAAACAAGGTACATTTAAAAGGTATAGTCATAAAATTGATGTCCCTCCCCCCACTGCCAAAAACAAACCTATTTCATTTTAATTATACATGCGGATATTCCTCAATGGATAAGGCATTGATGTCACTTCAGACGAGGGCCTCTCCATTCATTACTAACACCTGACCTTACCTTTAAGCAATGAAGTTACAGATTACAAATGGTTTTGAATGAAACTACTGACCAAGAAATGTGTCACTATGATTGCATTATCTAAACTCTAAAATAAGCAGTGAAGTCATAAAGGGCAGCAAGTCAAGCTCTGCATGCTCCCTCTACTGGCAGCAGATTTAAAATAGAACAGCAGTCTAATTACAGCCATGTAGAGTTTAAAATAGATATGTCTAGGTACAGGTCCACATCCATACAGCATATTTATAGAGATATTTTATAGTATCACCAAGACACAGACATAATCACCAATAGAATAAAACTAAAGAGCAATACTAGTTCCACTATTATCAGACATCATAATTTCAAAATGTCATCTTTTAATAAAAAGTAATTCTTGATTAAAACCTGCATGACAGCTATAAAGGTGAGATTATGTTCAGTTTACCTCTAAGGACTCCTTCAAGTCTACAGCAGAAACTGCATCCTCTTCTTCATCATCAGTCAACTGGTCCTGGGAACAGTAGTGAGTGCTATAAGCAGAATGCTCTTCAATTGCTTCCAGCCAGTTCTGAAATAATCCAAGGATTTAAATTAAAGTGAAAGGCATTTTTACTCCAAAGAGTATAGAGATTGCATGTCGATGATATGTAAAGCATGAAATTTACATGAAGGAAATAAATATTATGGCTCAAAATTCAAATGATGCTATCTCTTATCCATGACATGTCTGGTTAAAAAATTTTCCCAATATATATTTTAAAATATCATCTATAAGTTTACATATTCACTAATACTCAAATACATTACAGAAATTAAATAATAAGTGATTTTTAAACTTAGAATAACAGGTTCTTAGCACTGTAAGTTATTACCTAATAATGGAGCCCAACTTTACTATCTTATCAAACTATAAGTACAAGAAACTAAGATCATTTTGAGGTAGCCAACAATTGTCCTTATGCCTTAACTTACAATATTTTTTTTAAAAGCTTGATTTTACAAAAAGAATGTTTGGCCTATAATACATGTCTATTTTCTTATAGTATTACTTAGGGTCAAATCTTACCATTTTATGAAATGTTGAGGCAGTCATGAATTGGATTGTTTAAAACTCTTTGCAGGGCCCAAGTTAACTACTTTGGAAAACAGGTTCTTTTAATTCTTTATGGGATTTACCAAAAGAAATTTTAAAAAAAAGATCTATTAACACTGCTTTGATTTGAAAAAATACAGACTTTTTATTAAATGATATACCATGAATTTCAATCAGGAGAATTCCAATTTTCTCCTGTATTATTGGTCAACTAACCACAAAGTAGTCTATACTGTAATTAGTCTCAGAACACATGGCTGTAGTCCATGTTCTATGATTCATACATTGCATGGCCTTGGGAAATACCCTTAATCCTATATTCTTCATTTTTCCCACTTATAAATTAAGGGGTATATTAAATAATCATTTAATCTTTGTTTCAAAGTCACTAGCAGCCCCTCAATTCAAAGAATCAAAATGGTAAATTATTAATAGAAAATACCTACAGATACATTTGAAAAAAGAACTAATTCATCATAAGCCAAGTTTCTGAAGTTTCATGTAACTGTTCCCATTAAAACTATAATCAACATCTTAGATATTAATATTGAATCTATATTTTCACTCATCTTTAAACACCATGTTTTATGAAAAATAAATTAACCCATAAAATTACCTCTCTTGATTGCTTTAGGCTATTCTTAGGAACCCTGAAGCCATGAATAGTGTCATCGAAGCATTTAATAAAGAAGAGGCAGCTATCAGTGGATTTCACCTTGTAAAGAAATCAGTAAGACAACATTCATTCATGCATACATAATATTTAAAGTATTAATGTGGCTTAATAACATCCAATTGAACAATTTAAAACACTAATAAAAATTGTGGAAAATACTGATACATTAGGTATATCAAATGTACTGTAGCTTTATCAAATCTGTCTTTCTCACTCTTAATTCCTCAAGGTAAATATTTTTTAGAAACTTCATTTATTTATTTTTATGTGGCACTGAGGATCGAATCCAGGGCCTTGCATGTACTAGACAAGTGCTCTACTGCTGAGCCACAATCCCAGCCCCTCCCCAAAATAAATATTTATAGTTCATTGGGTGTGTAGCTTTAGTTCTATTCTTTCTGTTAAGTATAACCTGGTAGGCATTTGGGCTGTAAAATCCTATATATACTACAGCTCCAATTTCTTCTTCATGCACTCTCTTGAATGTTTTGTTTGTACCGAGTGTAGAAAATGTTTAAGCTGAATGTAAAAGAATGAGTAGTTAGATAACGTTGTTAAAGAAGAGGAAGGGAAAGAGGATAGAAGAAATTAGGAAAAAATTTTAAATATAAGAGCTGGAAAAGAAGAAGGATATTTAAGGATGGAAAAGAGAAGACTTCTGCTTCTAGACCCTATAAGTAACTGCCTTCCTCCCTGCACAAAACAACTACAAAAGCATTTTGTAACCCCCACTCCCATAGACACACAACAAAAAGCAACCACATAAAGAAACTGGGACCAACCACTAACAGACTAATAAGGAACACAAGCTCTTGGAGGAAAAGGAATGAGAAGCTATGGAAATTAGTCTCTCCCCACCCCCACACTGGTGTTTCTCCTGGCTAAGTGAAGTTCCTGTGTTATGTGAAGCAACAAGAGTACATGTGGAACAACCAGTTTTTCTGTGGAACAACCAGTTTTTCTTTCTTTGGAAATTAATAAAACAAGCCGGAACTGCAAACATTAGAGAAAGAAAGAGAATCCCCCAAGAGAGAGGCAGGATGTATCTATTCATATATCTAACTCATCCATAAACCACACATGCAGGAAGATTTAAAGCAGCTCATATAAAAACAGCTTACCCAAACTTGCACTGGAACTGCTGAGGCAAGAAAAAGACTAGCTAACACAAAGGAGAAAACATTCAACAAAAAAATATCAGAATCCAGAATCTCCAGAGCTTATCATTGATAATATTAAGGATACAATCCAAAATTAGCTGAAAAATGAGGAAGCAAGAAAGTAGAACACAGTTACAAAAGAAAATCTAATTAAAAAGCAGAATTTAGGGCTGGGGTTGTGGCTCAGTGGTAAAGCGTTAGCCTTGCATGTGTGAGGCACTGGGTGTGATCCTCAGCACCACATAAAAATAAATAAAGATATTTAAAAAAAAAGCTGTTCTTATTTTTAAAAAAAGCAAAATTTGTCAGAATGGACAATATAAACCAAAATGTATATTATCTATAAGACACAGAAAAATAAATATAAAAATACAGATTGGCTCAAACATTATTGCAAACAATTAGACCAGAGTGGTCATATTAATATCAGACAAAATAAGATTTTGAAACAAAAAGTGTTATAAGGGACAAAGATGGCTAATGTATAATGTCAATTAAGAAAACAATTATAAATATGAGTGTGATCCATAACAGGGCAAGAAATTTACAATTCCACAAACATAGTTGGAGATTTTAACACCTCTCTCAGCAACTGACATAAGAGCCAGCAAAAAACTGAAAAACAACTGGGTGTGGTGGCGCATGCCTATAATCCTAGCAGTTTAGGAGGCTGAGGCAGGACGACAGCAAATTCAAAGTCAGCTTCAGCCATTTAGTGAGGCCCTAAGCAACTTGGCAATACCCTGTCTCAAAAATTTTAAAAAGGCTGAGGATGTAGCTCAGTGGTTAAGCATCATGCGTTCAATCCCTCTTAACCAAAACAAAAAATTGCCTCAGCAGCAATCAGGAAAGGCCAACATCACAGCATATGAGGTCTACTAACTTTTGGGGACAAGCAAAAAACACACAAATGAGCCAAAAATTTAAAATCTCTTAAAAATATGCTTTAAAAAATAGCCAGACATGGTGGTGCACACCTGTATTCCAAATAACTTGAGAGGTTGAGTCAGGAAGAAAGCAAGTTTGAGGCCAGCCTTAGCAACTTAGCAAGACTCTGAGCAACTTAGTGAGACCCTGACTCAAAATAAAAAATAAAAAGGGCTGGGGATGTGGCTCAGGGGTAAAGCACTACTGGGTTCAATCCCCAATACAGAAATAAATAAGTAAGTAAGTATATTTTTAACAAACTGGACAAGGCAATACAATAAGTTATCAAATAGGAAGCATCAATAGAAACAAGTTATAAAAAAGCACCAAATGGAAATTCTGAAGTTGAAAGTCACCAATAATTGAAATGAAGAGTTCACTAAGAGAATCAACAGAAGATTTGAGATGGCAAAAAAAGAATCACTAAAGTAGAAGATAGATCAATCTGAAGAACAGAATGGAAAAAAATAATAAACACTAACTCAGAAAACAATAGATTGTTATGTGTACTAATAATCAACTGGAATCACAGAAGATCATGGAAAGAAGAGGTTGAACATATCTCTGAAGCAAAAATGTTGAAAATTTCCCAAGTTTGATGAAAATGTTAAATCTATATTCCCAAGAAGCTTAATAATTCTCTATATGTTAAGTCCAGAGAGATTTACACTTAGAAAGATCTTAGCCAAATTGTTGAAAGACAGAGAAAATCTGAAAAGTAACAATAAATAAAATGACTCATCAAATGAGAAACAATAGAGGCCAGAGGTAGGAAGGGGGAAAAAATTCCAAGTGCTGAAAGAAAACTTCTATCTTGCAAAACTGGTGTTCTGAAACAAAGAGAAAATAAACAAAAACAGAATTCCTTGTTGTGAACAGGCAAACCTTACATGAAAGTGTAAAGGAGGTCTGTTAGGCTGAAAATGACCCCAAGCAAGAAATAAAGAGCACGGGTAAAGGTAACTGCACAAGTGATTATAAAGAGTATAAACATATTTTCATCAACTGATTTCAAGTAACATAGTAGTTATAAAATAAATACAGTAAAATTAAAAAGTGGTACACCAATAATATTTCTAATTTGCAGAAAAAGAAGAGCAGAAAAACATAAACGTAGTAATAACAAAACAGTAAATATAAATCCAACCATATCAATAACAGCATTAAGTGTAAATTCATTAAACATTCTAATCACAAGGCAGAGATCATTAGATTAAAATAGAAGAAACCACTATATACTACCAACAAAAGATAGGCTTTAGATTCAAAGACACAAATAGATGTAAAAGATTGAAAAGACACAGTCATGTACCACATAATGAAGTATCAATCAGCAACAGGATATGATGTTGGTCCCAAAAGACTATATGGCCAGTAATGCAACAATCTTGGTTCGTGTAAACACCCAAAGAGAAATTACTCAGACTGTATCTCCAGTCCTTAAACAATTAATGATTGTACCATGTGACCATGTGAGAGCTGAAGTGATTGCAGTGATTATTTAGGGGGACTGAGTTTGTCCCCACTGAACTCATGTATCGAAGTCTCAACCCCAATGAGACTCTATTTGAATCTTGTGGACATTATGTTCAGTGGAATAAGCCCATCATAAAAGAACACATATTGTACGATTTCACTTACATGAGATATCTAGAGTAGTCAGAATCATAGAGATAGAAAGCAGAATGGTGGCTACCAGAGGCTTCGCAGAGTGTGTGTCGGGGGATGGCTACAGGCATTAGTGTTTAATGGATATAGCATCAGTTCTGTGGAATGAATGATGTTCACAGCATCACAACAATGTAAGCATACTTAATGCCACTAAGCTATACACTCAAAAACAATTAAGTTCTACATTATGTGCATTTTACAATTTTTTTTTTATTTTGGGGATTGAACCCAAGTCTTTCTGCATGAGACAAATGCTCTACCATTGAGCTACATTCCTAGCCCCACAATTTTTAAAAAAGTAATTTATAGTTATACACTCCTACATAAGAAAAAAAGATCTCAATAATCTAAGCTTCTAAGGAAACTGGAAAGAGGGTAGAGCCTGCTTTATCGAAGTCACTCAATCGAATGCCCATTAGCTTGCATTGATTTATGATTCACAGATGTAGGCTTTATCAGACAATTATACAAAAAAATACAAAGTTTTAAATAAAGTGAGGCATAACATGGCAGAACATAATCAATTCCACTGAAGATAAAGGCCAAAAAATTTAAAAAGTACAAAGGGTTAACTTATGCAAAAAATGTAAGAATGAGAATAAAGGACCCTACTGAATAAAAACCTTTGCATTAAATAGATGAATCGAGGGCAGGAACAGAAGAGATTTCACCAACAGAAGGAAAAAAACATTAGATGGATAAGATTACAGAGGTTCACTGGCTCTCTGGTTTCATGTCAAGGGAGGTTGGGGTATGAGGGCACTGAAGGGGCCAGGTTCTTGGACCTCCAGGGTGGACTGTAGGGCAGGGGACTAAGCTAGAAACAAGCCACACTCATCCCACCAAGGGAGTCCCACTGGTCCTGAGAGAGTTTGCACAGAGAAAGGCAAGTGGTATGATAGACAGACAGACTGCTATGGTAATGCTGGCAACCCTAATGGACTTAAAGCCAGAAACAAGAAAGTATGTCTGGGCTTGAAACAGATCAGTCTCTAAAGAGGAAAACCTGCTTATTCTTGTGGCTAGTAAACAGCTGGAAGTGAATAGAGAGAACCTAAGACTGCTGATTTTGACATAGGCTTTTAATTCTTCTTTAATACAAAATAAAACCTTCTAGCATCTAGATTCATCTAGATTCATGAAGACACCCACACCCACCAAATGTTAAAAGCTCTACATAGATGTTTTTGGATCACCCATTTTTCACATCACAATATGTAGAGATAAAAACTGATCATATACATTTTTTTTCCAAAACAGATTCCACATCTTTAATTTTTCTCAAATTAAATACATACAAGCACTTTTGAGGCCATTGCATAGAATCTCAAGATTTTACAGTTTGGGGCAATCATTTTTGGAACTGATTTCACAGTATGTGCAAAGATGCATATCTCATCTTACCGTACATACTGCTTGAGTGAGGTGTTTGCATCCCTGGCGATAAATATTATGGACTGCATCAGGCCTTCAAAATAATCAAGACAAAAGCAAGAGATAAGTGAAAAAATGTAAGGTTTCAAATTTATATAATGAAAGTTAATAAGTGTAAAGATTATAATACTTACTGTTTCCTATACCATGAAAGGACTCCATGTTCTAACACTACCCAGAATAATCTCCAGCCAAAAAATCTTGAACTCTAAAGGAGAAATGACAAAGATTTCCCAAGCTGACACATACTTGATTGATAAAAAGTAATTAGGTTCTAACAGTTTTGTCTGAGTCTTCATCCAGACAGTAGTACAGAACATTAAAAAACGTTCAAACATGAACTGAGATACTAAGTGTAGTAACAAAAACATAACACTTTAGGGTGACAGGAACAGAAGAAATGCTACACTGGTGAAATCAATGAGGAGTACATTTATGGTTACTGGTCAGGAATATTTATGAAAATATACCAGCTGTGTACTTCAAAAACAATTTCCTCAAAGTTGTTTATAAATGTTTAATAGAAAAAAATTATTCTAATTTTATATAAGCACACATGAACATAAATATATAAAAGGATTGCTTGCAACTGTAAAAGAAATTATGTGCTATAATGTGGTTCATCCTAAAAGTAATTCCTAAGCACAAAGAAGTTTTTAGAACCAAAAGAATTTCATGTGTGAACCCTGTAATGATTCAAATATTAATTTTTCCCAAGTCCTCCATGGTTTGATGTTCATAACAAAAATAATACTGTAATTCTATAGTTTAGTGAGAAAAAAGTACTCTTCCAATTCCTTTTTTGTAGATTCTTATAACAATTGATAACAATCAGGTGAAGCTACTTGAAGTCCAAAGTGTAAAAATCACTTACATTTTAAGACACAAGAATTACCAAATCACATATACAGATGCTCCTCAACTTAGAATGAACTTATAGCCCAATAAGTCTATCACAAGTTGAAAATACTGTAAAGTCAAAAATACATTTAAGGGCTAGGGGTATAGCTCAATGGCAGAGCACTTGCCCAATATATGCAGGGCCCTGGATTCCATCCCCATCAACACACACACACACACACACACACACACACACACACACACACACACACACACGGGGGGGGGGGGACATGACACTTAATACACATAACCTACCCCAATATCACAGCTTAGCTAAGCCCACCTTAAATATGCTCAGAACATTTTCATTAACCTGTGGTTGGGCAATATAATTTACTACAAAGCCCATTTTATAATAAAGTATTAAATACTCATGTACACACAGAGATGGGCATTTTGTAGTAACAACGGGATTCAAAAACAAAACATGCTGAAGTCATAGCTCAGGGCAGAGTGTATAGTTAGCATGGACAAGGCCCTGGGTTTGATCTCCAACTCTGCAAAAAAAAAATAAATAAAAAAATTTAAAAAACAACAAACACAGTTTCCAAAACTGCTGGCAACATGGCACCCAGTATAGTCTTGCTTGCTTCCCCTCATAATCACAAGGATGACTAGGAGCTGCAGCATGTCACCAATGCCCCAGCAGCCCAGAAAAAGAGCAAAATCCAAAGTATGGCTCCTACTGAATACAAATCCTTTCCATATAAAGTTGAAAAAGGGCAAATCAATCCAGTTAATCAAGAACCAGCTGTACTTTGGAAATGATTGAAAAATTTTTAAGAGAAATGAAGAATTTAAGATTTTTCTTTTTCCTTTTTTTTTTTTTTTTTTTTTTGGTATCAGGGATTGAACTGGGGGAGCTTAACCACTGAGCTATATCCCCAGTTCCAAGACCTTTTCATGTTTTATTTTGAGACAGAGTCTTGCCAGGTTGCTGAGGCTGACCTTAAACTTGGGATCCTCCTACCTCAGCCTCCCAAGCATCTGAGATTACAGGCGAGAGCCAAAGCATCCACATCAGTTTTTCATTTATTTATTTTTTTATTTTTTGGTACCAGGGATTGGATTCAGGGGCACTCAACCACTGAGCCACATCCCCAGCCCTATTTTGTATTTTATTTAGAGACAGGGTCTCACTGAGTTGCTTAGCAACCCTTGCTTTTGCTGTGCTGGCTTTGAACTCACAATCCTCCTGCCTCCCAAACTACTGGGATTACAGGTGTGCACCACCATACCCGGCTCAGAATTTCATTCCTTTTTAAGACTTGGTAATATTTCATTGTATGCATTTACCACATTTTGTGTTCTCAATTCGACTACTGATAGACTTAAGCAGTTGCCACCTTTGGGCTATTGTGTATAATGCTGCGATGAACATTTGCACACAATTAAATTTGAATACCTCTTTGAAATTCCTTTAGCACATAGCCATGAATGGAATTTCTGGTCATATGAAAATTCTGTTTAATTTTTGGAGAAACTGTGAAGCTGTTTTCCACAGTGTCTGCACCACTGGACATTCCCACCAGTGCACAAGGGTTCCAACTTCTTCACATCCTTATCTAAACTTGTTTGATAATTTGATCCTTAGAATCTGAGCAGAAACTTTCACAAGCAGCAATGTGAAAGAAGGAGACTGACCATTTTGGATTTGAAAATACACTGACACACCAGGTGCAATGGCAGTGGCCTATAATCCCAGCAACTTGGGAGGCTAAAGCAGGGGGGGTTGCAAGTTCAAGGCCAGTCTCAGCAACTTAGCAAGACCCTGTCTCAATGTTTTAAAAAATTTTCTAAAATTAAAAAAAAAAAACAGCTGGTGATGTAGCTCAGTAGTGGAGCATCCCTAGTACCAAAAAGAAAAAAGACACTGATGCCACCATTTTAAGGAGTTTAATCTAGGTCAGCTTTAACTATAGATGTTTACTGGTGGTCTCATTTTATGTCCTGTGACATAAAGAGGGGGCAGTGGGGACATAAAAGTTATAGAGATCCTCCTCACTTATAAAGACGTTAACTGGTTCCTGTTAAGGGACAACATCAAGTAAATTGATGAGTTACCCATAGGTGGCAATAAAGTATGGACATGTAACAATCAATATATTCTACTGTAAGGAAGTTTTCCAGAGTTGAAGACAAATATCAGGGGACAAAATTCAATCTCTGAAACAACTCGGTAAGACTCAAATTAACATTCACTTTTCGAACTCCCAACCCTCATATCAACCCAATATTATAGCCAATCATGTTGATTCTCTCTTCAATGAGAAAATAAAAGCAATTACAGTGGAACCCTCAGATCTCCTCTTCACGGACTGCCCAATGTCTATTCTCCTGCTGTCTCAAGAGAGACCCCCACATCTTTTTCAAGACCACCTGTCCCTTGGGGCTTGCCCTCCCAGTGGTGCCAGGTCCCCTAGGCTCTCCTATCCTTTCTCTCTGACATTTTCCTTTTGAGGCCACAAACACCTTTCCTTCACTAAACTATTGAAACCCAATGTTTCTACTGGAGAACCCCTGACATAGTGAGCATGGAGCAAAAGAGGACTCCCCATAGCAGAATGAGGTCTGGAAACTAAAAAGGAAGAGCAATAAAGCAATAGATCCAGAAATGGAGTTGGAGGAGAAGGTGCATCATTGGAAGAGGAAATTTAAAAAGCCATATGAACTTACCTTCCAGAGAGGACCTTCATATCGTTTCAAGGTTTTGTAGATGACCTATCAAAAATATGTTTTGTTAAAAATGCATCTATATATTTCAATATTTTAGAAAAAAAATTCTAAAATTATTATGTACATTTAACCCATTATTACATACCTTGTTACCAACAAGAATATGTTTCATCTCAGCACCCTGGGCAAGGTCAAGAGGTTTCTGTTCTGTATAAAATACAAGGGAGAAAAGCCACAATGAGCTCAATTGTACTATAAAGTTGATGCTGCAACTGCAATTGAAGCATCTTCATTCTTCCATCAACTACACTACCCCATTTCTACCACCCTATTCTCCTCTGCAAAACAATCACCTATCAGAAGTTGCCATCTCAATTCTTTAGGGTCTCATTTTTAGCAGCTACTAACCCAGCAAATCAGATTAACCTCAGAACACTCTGAGATCTGTCAAGCTTTTTGGTCTTAAATCATCATTTTCCAAGATTGCTGTAACAAATTACCACAAACTACCAAATTATATTGTTATATTTATTTATAATGTATTTATAATATACCAAATTATATTGTGCATGTATGAATATGTAACAATGAATCCCACTAGTAAAAAATCAAAAAAAAATTTAAGTTACACAGTTTAAAACAATATGAACAGATAATAATTTAGTTATTTAAACATTGTATAAATTTAAATCATTACTTAGCCCTTTTATAAACTGCAAACACTTGACATGTATTGGCAACTTTTTGTATACATTTCTTTCTTTTCTGTGGTGAGGGAAAGTACCAGGGATTGAACACAGGGGTGCTTAACCACTGAGCCATCTCTCTATCTCTTTTTATTTTATTTTTTAAAATTTTAGGACAAGGTCTTGCTAAGTTGCTTAGGGCCTCACTAAGTTGCTGAGGCAGACTTGAACTTGAGATCCTCCTGTCTAAGCCTCCCAAATTACTGGGATTATAGACATATGCCATCACGCATCGAACATTTCTTTTCAAGAGAGTCTATTTATGTGTCAATCACCACTTGTAGGCACTGGGGATTCAGAAGTGAACATTAAACAAAAATGGGATAGGAGCATAGGAAAAGAACAGAAATAAGGAAAGAATGTTAGTGATTTAAAAAGACATATCAGGCAATGAACTATATTATGCCAAGATTTTTTAAATGACAGATTTGACAGATTGGATGGGATATTTTAGATTGGAGGTTGAGGGACATACCTGGGAAGACCTTTCTAGGAAGGGATATTTATACTGAAAAGAAGGAGTGAGCCTCATGAAAACAGAGTGGAAAGGCATTCCAGCAAAGAGAAGAGCTAATGCAAAGGACTTCAGGGAGGCAGAAATGAATTAGTGGGCAAGAGATAAAGTTAGAAAGGCTATACCATACAAGGGCTTTACATGCCAGACATTTGTGAGACAGTATAAAAAAACAGAGTTTTAATCTAAATATGATAGAAAGCCACCACAGGGTTTCAAATAAAAGAGTAAGATGATCTGACTTATGTTTAAACTGTCAAAGTGAGTTTGAGCTATTTCATAATGGTAAGAAATTACGAGGCTGGGGTTGTGGCTCAGCAGTAGAGAGCTCACCTAGAACACATGAAGCCCTGGGTTCGATCCTCAGCAGCACATAAAAATAAGTAAATAAAATAAAGGTATTGTGTCCAACTACAACTAAAAACTAAATATTTAAAAAAGAAATTACCATATTAATAGGATGCTATTGTGCTTCTGTTAATAGCTCTGATACAAATTCACATACCATACAATTTACTAATTAAAGGTACACAATTAAATATTTTTAATATGTTCAGAGTTGTACTACCATCATGTAATTTTTAAAGGAGTGCTTAGCTATATTTGACACACTGAAATATTTACAGATGAAATGGCATACTATTTGGAACTGCCTTAAAATAATCCAGGTTGTAGGACAAGATATAAGGAGAGCAGCCATTACTGAGAATTCCTGAAGGAGAATGAGGCACATATCAATTAATTATACTATTCTAGTTTTTAAGTCTTAAGAATCTCCATCACAATATTTTTTAAAAGATCATTGTAGAGGCTGGGTGGAAAATGGCTTATACACATGAGTAAGAGAAAAATCAGAGACTAGTGGTGACTCCAATAATGCTGGGCAAAGGCAGTGGTGGTTTGGACTAGACATTCAGAATTCAAAGAGATGGTCTTTAATATAGAGAAGCATATGGGTTTGGGATTTATTTTAGAGTCAATTTATAGAACTGCTAATGTATAAAGCTGGAACTGATAAAAATTATTTCTTTGTGAGGAAAAAATATTTTTAAACATTAACCAAGAAATTAATCAGTCTAGTTTTTCTAACTACCAAATAGAAAGATGACTTATAAAGCTCTGCAATACAGTGTTATTTTCACTCTACCTTAGGGCACTTTTGAGAAACCATTCCTTTAGGCAGAGGGAAAGAAGATAATATGATTTCTATCATAAAATTCTGTCCTAATACCAAAAATAAATTCTGAACTCCTGCTAAATAGATGAAATCCCATGACAGAGCCTCATTTCTATACTCAGTGTCTAAAGTACCTGATATACAATAAGAACTCAATGAAATATAATTTGAATTAAGCAAAATAACTTCGCTACCTATATGAGCTCCATAACCAATCATTTCAAAAATGTATATTTCTTATTGACTGAGATAAGTAGAAAAGATGGAATATTTTGGGACTGCAAATTGGTGCGGCCAATATGGAAAGCAGTATGGAGATTCCTGGGGAAGCTGGGAATGGAACCACCATTTGACCCAGCTATTCCCCTTCTCGTCTATTCCCTAAAGACCTAAAAAGAGCATACTACAGGGACACTGCTACATCGATGTTCATAGCAACACAATTCAAAATAGCAAGACTGTGGAACCAACCTAGATGCCCTTCAACAGACGAATGGATAAAAAAAAATGTGGCATTTATACACAATGGAGTATTACTCTGCATTAAAAAATGACAAAATCATAGAATTTGCAGGGAAATGGATGGCATTAGAGCAGATTATGCTAAGTGAAGCTAGCCAATCCTTAAAAACAAATGCCAAATGTCTTCTTTGATATAAGGAGAGTAACTAAGAACAGAGTAGGGACGAAAAGCATGAGAAGAAGATTAACATTAAACAGGGATGAGAGGTGGGAGAGAAAGGGAGAGAGAAGGGAAATTGCATGGAAACGGAAGGAGACCCTCAGGGTTATACAAAATTACATACAAGAGGAAGTGAGGGGAAAGGGAAAAATAATACAAGGGGGAGAAATGAATTACAGTAGAGGGGGTAGAGAGAGAAGAGGGGAGTGGAGGGGAGAGGAGGGGGGATAGTAGAGGATAGGAAAGGCAGCAGAATACAACAGACACTATTATGGCAATATGTAAATCAATGGAAGTGTAACTGATGTGATTCTGCAATCTGTATACAGGGTAAAGATGGGAGTTCATAACCCACTTGAATCAAAGTGTGAAATATGATATATCAAGAACTATGTAATGTTTTGAACAACCAACAATAAAATAAAATAAAGAGTGCAGTATGAAAAGTCCTTTAGACTGTGGAAACTGACAGACACTGCTACCTCAACAGGTGATAAAGTATGGATCTGTGTGTGATCTGTGATACAATGTGAAGATGGAACTTTACTTTTTTTATTTTTTCTTTCTTTTTTTTGGCTTTCCCCTATGGTTTCATAGATTTGATTTAACCTAATTTAACAACAAATTCCAACTGAGTGACATTCTACAAAACACCTGATAAATACTCTTCAAAACTGCCAAAGTCATCAAAAACAACTAAAAGTAGTCTAAGGAGACATAACATATCCTGGATCAGAAAAAATCCTGGAACCAAAAAATTAATAATATGCAAAAACTAAGGAAATCTGAATTAAATATGGACTTCAGTTAACAATGTATCAATAATGGTTCACTAATTATAACAAATGTAGCATTTTAATGTAAGATATTAATAAGAGGAACTGAATGAGGGAATAGGAATACTTACTCTGCAATATTTCTATAAATATAAAACTGTTCTGAGAAGTAAAATAAATAAATAAATAAATAAATAAATAAATTTTCTGACTAGAAAAAAAAAAAGCGCCTCTGTCATCTGTCAAGCTCCCATATGTGCATGCTTTCATTTTTAAACTATGTGGTCTGCTCATCTACCCTGAGTCAATACCCAAACCAAGATCTTGCTGAGAGATCTTATTCATCTCATGATTTTAATTAACTCTTTATGCTAATAATTCCCAAGTATCTTTCTTCCCCAGATTTTTCCATTAACCTCAAATTTCTATTTTCAAATGTCTCACTTGATTTATATAATAGATATTTCAAAATTTAAATATCTTTAAAAGCCAAACTCCCTTTGGATCTGCTGCTAACTTGCTACCTTCCCTTCCTCAATAACTAAAGGCATTTTCCAAACACTCAAGTCAAATTCTGTCATCCTTGACCACTTCACATCCAAAACATGACAAAACCCTGGCAACTCTACCTTAAAAATGTATTAAAAACCTAACCACTGAACTACTACCCGTGTTGCCATAATCCTACTGAAGTCGACACCATCTCTCACCCAGATTATTCCAACAGCCTCTTCCTTGCTGTTCCTCTCTGTCCCTGCCCTCCTGCAATCTATTCTACTTACAGCTAGCCAGATGACATTATGTAACTTAAGTCAAATTGTACCACTGCTGCACTCTAAATCCCCCATTTTCCCATCTCACATAGATACAAAACTCCCTGAAAACAGGGGCTTGCCTGCTTTGCTTTCTTCACTGCTCCAGATCCCGAGTATCTGGTATTACCCAGCACACAAACACTCTAAGTATTTGTTGAATAAATTAGTCTTAATTACCATAGAGTCATTAGTCCTTTTATCCAGCAGAATACCCCAGGTTCTCTTCCCTTTTTACATTTTGAACCTTTGACTTTCTTAGAATTGCTTTGAATTCATAAATTAATTTTGGGAGAACCCCTAGCTTTTAAATGTTGAGTTCCTCTCCACCCAAAACATGATAGGTCTATTTTTTAGATGTTCTTTTATGTTGTGTTCATAATTTCCTCCATAAAAAAACTAAGCATTTTTATCAAATATATACCCACTTTTTTTTTGCTATTACCATAAATGTTACCTTTTTAAAAATTACATTTCTGCCACAATTAAATCTTCAAGCTCTTTTTCTATTACATATTCCTCCTTAAATTTAAATGCTTAAATTTCCCTTTGCCTTAAAAAACCTCCATTTGAGGCTGGGGATGTAGCTTAGAGATAGCACACTTGCCTGGCATGTGTAAAGCCCCTGAGTTCCATCCCCAATGCCACACAAAACAAAATAAATAAATAAATATAAATTAATAAGATTTTAAAACTCCACTTGGCTATGAAGCCATCTGTTCTTAAATGGAAGTAGTTAAGTAGTGCTAACTCAGCTTCTTCACTTCCTACTCAATCCTTAAGCCCTAACCTAGCCTTTGTTCAACAATGGTCCAGTGAAAACTGCTCTTTCAGAAATGACCACCATGCATTGAGTCAATGAATTCCACAGCCCTTCCTCAGTGTTTATCTTCTTTAGTCTAAGTTGAACATGATACCAATAACATCCAACCCCTTTGCTCTGAATTTTTTCTCTTCTTTTGGCTTCCATTAAGCTGATTTTCTTTCCCTTCTCGTGGGTATGTCCCCTTCTCCATCCTCCAATTTCTCTCATACCTTTATTCCAGGAAGAACTTGTACTCTGTTTTAGGGATATAGGGAGAGCCTCTTGAGGGAAGCAGACTTTCAGTCAGCTCTTGAAGTGAGAATAGGGTTTACCATATGGATAAATAGAAAAGAAGAATTTCTGGCAGAAAGAATAGCATATGCAAGCTGGGTGTAGTGGTGGACACCTGTAATTCTAACAACTTGGGAGGCTGAGGCTGGAGGACCACAAGTTTAAGACCAGCCTAAGCAACTTAGCAAAACCCTGCTTCAAAAAGGAAAATGGGTTGGGGATGTAGCTCATTGTCCGAGAATACCTAGGTTCAATCCCCAGTATAAAGAAAAAAAAAAAAGCCAAGTGAGGAAAAGCATAGTTAACTTAACACAGAGCCTTGAATAGTTTGGTGCATTCAGAGCTGTACTGTCCAATATAGTAGATGCAAATCATATGTAGCAATAGGTACCTGAAATGTGGCTATTCCAAAATGAGGTGTGCTGCAAGTGACCTTCCAAATTAAGGGGTAAGATGGCCTGCCATTCCAAGGCTTTCTACTATATAAGTCTAACCTGTATGCAGTAGTACCTAATGCTGCTCCTCTTATGTGCTCTTGGATGTGACAACCTGGAGATATCTCCTAAACTTATGTTTTCATCTTCATGTGTTTTTCATAATCTTTTCTCTGCCAAGAATACCCTTTCCCAAACTTCTTATCATAGGGAATCAAAATCTTAATAAAAGTATTATGTTTATAGAATTAGAGAAAAACCTAAGGATACAGCCTTTTGTTAGAGATACAAATTGAAGCATTTAGACATGACTTTTTAAAAAATCCTACTAAGATTTCAGAGTCTATATCAAATACCTACTCCTTCATGTGAAATAATTTTTATTTAACCCAAACCTTCAACAAACACACATATTAGAACATATTATGTGCTATATGTTGCTCTAGGTGCTAGTTAAACCTGTTAATAAAATGTTATCCCTGGCCAAATGAGGTTAGTCTTAAGGCAGACAGTTCCATAAGATAACTATTACAATGAAACATAATTAAGGCTCTGATGGAGCTGGATACAAAGTCCTTCCTACAGGAGCACTGACAAGTCCTAATACAGGCTGGGGTGTCAGGCAGAGGGAAGCATCCTAAAATGACATAAAAGGCCCTCATGGGATATTCTCCCTTTAATTACCCAAGACATTTCTGGTAGCTTCTTTTTTGTTTATCCAATTCTATCTTGGATACAGTCAAGCATGTACCCTAGACTCCCAACATCTGTAGATTCCATATTTGCCAACTTGCCCATTGCTAAATTTATTTAACACCAAAATTAATACCTATGATGATTTCTTGGTTGTTCATGCACATTCTCAGAGTGGGGAAAAGTTTTGAGTTGCCCAAGACTCACTTTCCCAGCTTTTTTCTACAAGTTGAGCTAGAAAAAGGTGATACTTGGTTCAGCTCTCATAAGGAACAAGTGTCCCTGCTGTGGTTTATATTTAGAGTCACATTTTTGTGTTTTTGTTGGCGACTTTGATGTTTTAAATGGCCCTAAAGCACAGTGTTGAAGTACTGCCTAGTGTTCCTAGGTACAAGATAGTGATGTGCCTTTCACAGAAAACACAACTTAGCCAAGTTTCATTCAGGCATAATTATGATTTCGTTACTCATGATCTGAGTATTAATGAATCAAGGATATATATTAAATAAGGTGTTTTTAAACAGACCCACAAATGTTATAGATCAGTGGGTGAAAATGTGACGAGAGGCCCCCAGGAACCTCCTGAGCTTCTAGGAACAATGGTTAAGAATTCATTAATTCAGTATTGGTGGCAATGTTCCAGGACATAACTACTACAAACAATTGAAATCAACAGTACTTACTTATCTTTCCCTCAAGGGTCAGATCTATCTTAGTCATCACTGGTGCTTCCTTTGGCATAGGTAAGCAATACCAAAGAGTTTAAATCTTAACTGAAAAGAAAACTAATGTTTATTATTTCTTTAGTGAATGCCTTGACTTCAAAAGTAGAGATCATACAGTTTAACAAAGGCTGACTATTAAAACAAAATAATCTTATATAATATTGATGCATTTTATGGCTTCAGAATGACCAGCAAAGGCTTTCATCAATATGCTTACCATTTTTGTTCTTCAGATTAGGATCTGCTCCACTTTTTAGAAGTTTTAAGGCACACTGCTTGTGGGCCCGGTAGGCTGCACAATGCAACGGTGTATTTCCTAACTGATCCGAACAATTAACATCAGGAGGATTAGGCCTGTTGAGCTACCAATGAGAGAAATGCAATGCAGAATTATACATCAAAAGCAGACTTTCTCCCAGAAGGTGTTCAAGCAGAGCCTGGAGAACAGCAGGACTGGTTTGGCATTTAGATTATACATGACTTCTGGCTCACTAAACCAGCCAACCCTACCACTCCTGTGCTCATCCCACAAATGCCACTAGATCGCAGGCCTATGTCCAGTTTCCACAGCCCTTGATGACAAGACACTACACACTATGCCAGTGACACCCTATCCACCCCTGGCATTAAAATTTCACCAAGCGTGCTTGCTCCGACCAGTTCTGCATTTATTTCACACTCGTGACAGCAAAGCTACGAATCAGGCTACCATGAACAGTCCCTGCGGAGAGTTAAAACCATAGATGTTAAATGTGTAAATGTCAAAGTTCTATTGAATTTGTTGTTCCCACCTTACTGTTTTAGGAACTTCTTTATATAGTCTCCATTTCACAAAATTTTAAAAAATGTTTCAGGGACTAAACTTAGAAACTAAAGGAGCTGTTTCAAATAAAGCTGAAATAACTTTAAAGCAAATGGCAATGCTTCAGTCTTGAATTCAGAACAAATTTAGAGTTTCATGTTTAATGAGACTATGCAGGAAATGGAAACTGGAAAGTAGGTCTCCTAGGAGGAAAAAAAAAAGTATGCAAAGCTTTTAATCTGCACTAACATGATATAATATTCTGAAATATATCTCTTTTTTCTATTTTCTAGAAGGACAGCATTCCTTTCAGAAATTACTGCTCATCAAAATTAGGGAGAAAAACTTACCCCTTTAGAGACTCCTACATACTGTGTTTAAATTTTAAATTGGTTTAATCCAAAAAAATAATTTAAGTTGTCCTTACATTAACTATTTTCTATTAAAAATTAGATTTTTATCCATCAGGTTTTCAGCAGGGGGTGGGAATGTAAATCAGAAATTCAGAAAAACAAATCACCCTTTAAAATGTGTCCTGCTTAAACTTTACTGTGCTCAATGTTGTTAGACATTTAAGGACTTTTGTCCTATTATTATAATCTCTGACACTTTCAGTCCCCTGTTCATGAAATTATGAACTTTACATTAAGTTTAAAATTTCTTGAAGAACTGCCTTTTGCTTATTGTTGTATTACCAGAGCTGTGAGTTCTGCTGTCTTGCCTTCTCTTGCTGCTGCTAAAAGCAATTCTTCAAGCTTTCTTTGTTGTGTCCTTTCTACAGCTGCAAAAAGAAAACATGTATGATTCTGCTACCAGTCAGCATCCTTTTAGCAACTTAATTACAAAGACATATAAAGAAAAATGTGGTCATAGTGAAAAAAAGTTTTGAACTGTAATTCAAATGCAGACTATAGACTCTCATTCTTTCAGATGAGTTCAATTTCCTTCAAGTTTGATGGAATTATGTTTTCAATTCAGTGGACTTTGTTTTATTCACCATAATACTCCACAAAATTATGAATTACTTTTGTATAGTGAAATATTATTGTGTATCTATCTGCTTGGAAAGGTAGATAAACTGTGTTCAGACCTTCCAGAACCTTTTAAAGGGAAGAGAAAAATAATAAGAAATAGCATTGGTACAAAGATAAACAAACCACATAAACATATGCAGATAGGTTTTAATCTACTTACATACTTCCATATATTATAAAATTTATTCTATTTAATAAATATCATAACACTACTACCAAGTGCTATTCAATACACTTAAAAAATATTAACTCATTACATCATCCTACCCACTCTGAAGTAGTTGTTACTATGCTAATTCTATGGACAAAGAAATGGAAGCATCAGGAGATCAGGGAACTTGGCCAAGGTCATGAGGTGGAGGAGCCCGGCTGTGAAATTAGGCAAGCTGGTGCCAAAGCCCATGCTACTTTCAAATCATGTTTGCATGAAAAGAGCAACTGGCAATCTAATCTAAGAGTAGAATAAGTTCTCATTTCTGCTAGATTTGGATTCTGTTTTGACTTACAGAAAAGAAACAATTTCATACAAAGTTTAGTAATCCCATTTAACACACATGTACAATATCCTATGCAAAGGCTCAAGAGAGGATTATTCTCCTGGCAGTTTTCCTGGCTAAGACGAGTCATGGGCAGAAAAACAGGCTGGGGAACCAGATTACTGGGGAAACAAATGAACATTTTTTAACAGTAATTATTACATGCTAATCCTTGATCCAGATACTATGTAAACCACTGCATTTCAACTACAGAGAACACAAACATTGAATATAGGAAAAGTAAAAACCAGTTTAGCTTTGTCTTAAGAAATGATGAAGTAACTCAGAATCATCATCATCTATTCTCACATTTTTGCTTCCATACTCGGACTCTGTCTATGTAGGCGCTTGGTGGCTTTAATAGGAACCACTATCTTCCATCTTTCCTTTCACTATGAGCTCTTCAAGAGCAGTAATCCCCTGGTACCTGCCTCCACTACTGCATTATCCTGACCTATAACTTATTCACTTAGTGTCTGGATGGATCCCAGAGCCTCATGCATGTTAGGCAAGCTTTCTATCTTGAGCTATATCCCCAGTCCTCTCTCAGAGGTCCTTTAAGTCTAGCACCTGTTCTTAATTCTTATGTATCCAGGCATTTATAAGGTACTCAGCACAATACATATCAGTTGTTCAATAATGTTTCACACTTCAGGGAAAGGATATAAAAAATACCCTAATATTTTTTTTCTAGATTTTCTAGGCTCACAAATGAGAACAAATAGGAATTTAAGAGTTGAAAACCCTGCATATGTTCCTGTAAACTTCCTGTGCTATGTTTATTCAGAGCAAAGACTGGTGATCCAGTAAATGAAAAGCAAATACTCCAACTTCAGGTGATGGGGCTCCTAGAGTGCTGATTACATTCTCTTTCTTGCTGTGGATGCTGTTCATAAGGACACTGTATTTTTGTGAAAATAGTGGGCTGCATATTAATGATATACATTTTTATCTCCATGAATACATCTTAAGGAAATACTCTAAATCCAAAAAATATTAAAATTTAAATTTAATAAGATACCAAACTCTTTCATTTCAATCAGAATCCAGAGTTAGTTGGGATTTCAGAGGTCATGAAATCTACCTTCACCTTAATAGACAATTATATACTTTCACAGGTTTGTAGTATACACATTGAAATGCAGAATACCTGGTAAATTTTGATGCAGATAGAAAATCACAACTTCACAATCACCACAGAAATACATAATTTGGACAAATATTATCAATGAATGTTAAAACCACTGACTGAAAATTTATTGGTAAACAAAATACATTATGTGGTCTCAAGTTTCTCCCTCAGTTTATTAGTTACAAAGGGAAAAACATAGAATTCCAGTGGACCACCCAGTGATCAGAGTTAACATCACCAATAATGGAACAAAGTGACATTCTGTATCTCCTATGATGCACCAATGAGGACGCAACCTCACCTATACAATATTCCTGCCAAAAAAAAAAATACATACCCTGAATCTGATCATATAAAACAGAAAAACCCAAATTAAGGGACATTCTACAAATAATTCCACAATTGCCTTCCTCTTCTAAAAGGCAAACATTATGAAAGGGGCAGAGGGAAAGCCTGCAGAACTGTTTCAGATACAAGATAACTAGAAAGATGTGACAATTAAATACAACATGGGACTTCTGATTAGATCCTGGATTGGGTGGAAAATGCTACAAGAAGTTTTTTTACACAACAGGCAAAATTTATATATAAAAAACATATATAATATTGTTGAGTACCCCTTATTCAAAATGTTTGGGATCACTTGTCAACACTAATTTAAAAAATCCAAAATGGAAAATACTCAAGGATCCAAAAGCTTTTTGAATATCATGGTACTCAAAAACTTTACATTTTCAAGCAATTCCAATTTCAGATTAGGGATGCTCAACCTGTATATTAATGTAAAGTTCCCTGAGAGTGATCACTATGAAATCAGCCCTCCATATTCATGGGTTTCACATCTGTGGATTTAACCAACCAGATTGAAAATAATAAAACATTTTGTATCTGTATTGAACATGTTCAAATTTTTCTTGTAATTATTCCCTAAATAATACAGTAAAACTGCTATTTACATAGCATTTAGACTGTATTAGGGATCATAAGTAATTTAAGCTACTTGGGAGGACATGCATAGATTATAAACAAATACATTTTATGTAAGGGATATGAGCACCTGCAGATTTTGGTATCCAGGGATGCCCTACACCAATCCCTACAGAACTGAGGAAAGACTAAAATTATGTGATATGTAAGAAAATATGCTTGTTCTTAAGAGATATTTGCTGAAGTATCAGTATTTCTGCAAATTATTCTCAAATTGTTTAACAAAAAAAGTAAATAACATCAAATATGTATGATAACTCAGGTATGGCAAAATATCTACCAATTGATGAATCTAAATAAAGGACATACAAAGGAAGTACAACTGTTCATTGTATTAATCTTGAAATATTCCAATAGGTTGGAGACTTTTTCAAAATAAAAAGACAAATGAAAAACATAAAAAAGTTTGGGTTTTTTTGTTTTGTTTTTACCTGACAAGTAGTAGTCTACTGTTTCCCCAAATACTAAAATCATAGGAAACTCACTGCACTTTCCAAGGCAACTCACACCATTGTGACAATACACTGGCCCCAAATATCAACTCCCTGTTACCATATCAAGTGGGCCATCAACTGGCTGTAGTTCTGCCACAAATAACATCATCCTTTCCTAAATAACTGCTCTTCAGATATTTAAATATGCTGTCACTGTGCCTAACTATGTCTATCTCTCTGGAATAAAAAATTTCCTGTCTCTTTGTGCATTATCCCCTGATCTGGTTTCTGGTCTATGTATGGTCTTCGTAGGTTGCTCAAAGCACCTCCTGTAGTTTGCCAATGACTGTTTAGTGATCTACCCACAAATGGTATTATATTGGCTAAGGGGAGCTCATTAGAACAGAATCACTCAATTGGGTCTCTACTTCTGTTTCCCAGGATATGACCACATGAGCTGACAAATCGTATTACCCGTAAAGTCAAATAAGCCCTTGTCCTTGCACAATTTAGGTTTTGGAAGAGCCTTAAAACATGTCTTTACAATTTCTCTTATTAAATGTCAACTTGTCAGGCTAACCTAATATTCCAGTCTGTCAGGAAAACCTCAGTTCTGAGTTCTCATCTTGATACTTTAAAACAACAGGACAGGAACAAAAACAGTTACCTTATCCTCTCAATTAGTCTATAATGTATTAAAGGGCAGAGACTACAACCAATACATTTTGCATGTCCCCAAATCACATGATATACTGCCTGACAGAGATAGTATATGTGACTTCTATTCATTGACAATGAAAGAATTTGTTTTAATGCAGGAGTATGTTAAGACACTGATCTAAAGATATCTGACGAGCAAAGCTGACCTGAAAAGAGAATAGTGAATACTGGAGACTGAGAAGTGGGAGAAAAAAAAGAATTGGATATGATCAGTGTATGTTGTATGCATGTAAGAAAATATTGCACTAACCTATTAATACATATATAGAATATACGTTAATAAAAAAATTTTTAAATAAAGATGTCTGAACACAGACATTTTCTAACTGCAGAACAAAAAAGAAGAGTTCAGTTCTGAAAGTCAATGGAAAAATAGTAAAAAGTAGGATGTAGGATATTACACAGATAAAAACACTAATAACTGTTATACATCAATGAGGTCCTCAAGAAAATGGAGCCAGTTGTCTTCCCCAATATCAAAACACTCCCAGTAGCCACACTACTCGGTTTCTCTGTCTGGAACAGCACCTCTGTATTCCTTCACAATCATATTTCACCAGCTTATCCACTACATTCCCTCATTTCTCTTTTTCTACTTTTATTTTGCTGGATATTGGAAAAATAGATTTCTAAAACATGCATAATTTTGTATAAGCTAAGAATTTAAATGCCATGAGGGAATTATCATACAGATAATTTTGTGTATAAATAACTACTCCCCAAATGACATTATCAATAGAGTACAAGAGAGTACACGCATCTACATGGATATTTTAGAAGCTATTTTACCCATACTGTCGATCTTGGCTATAATTAAGCTAAATTATGCTTATGTTAAGATCCATGATATTTACCTTCAAGCATGCTTCTGATTTCTTTGTCATGTGTAGCTTCTTTTGCTGTCTGTCCACTTCCATTTACCACTGTAGTATCAGCGTCGTATTCTAAGAGAAGCATTACCAATTCCTAAATAGACAAATTATTTTTGGCCATATTAAGCTAAGATTTTTTTATATTCCTTTTCCAAATTATCAATCATTACAGAATTTTACAAAAAAAAGTCCTATATAAGGATCTTTATATGACATCAATTATGACAATAAGTGATTCAAATAATTGTAATAATAATTGATGATTGCCTAGAAAACTGCCAATCCACAATACACAGCCAACATCTATAAATAATTTTTAAAATAAATTATGTGGCATGTACCAAAATTATTCGTGATAAAACTAAATGTGTAAGTTTAAAAAGCCATTATTCAAATTAGAGCATATAGTATATTCATTTATCATTCCTCTAAGGCCTGATGAGAAACAATAATTCCCCAACAGACCTACATTTCTTAAAGTTAATTTTGATTCTTTCAGAAAATAGAATAATATTCTCTGAAGTGATATAAACTAATGAGATGTACTATACTACTGAGGAATTGCTTATCATGAAGCAAACAACAAATGACAGTTTCATTCATGTATAAGTGGCTAATTGCTATTTTAGGAATTTCAAATTAATTGTTAATATATGTTAAGTGTTAATATATGTTAAGTCCAGGTATCACTGGTCAGTTATATAACTTAAAACAAATGGAGGAGAAAAATGCAGACAATAGAAATTTGATATCTGCTTTCCCTGAGATATATAGTGCCCAAGGAGAGAATAATGACAGTGCTTGCTTTCAAGCTCCACACTAAGTGCTGTTCTAACTCCTAGAATGACAGTGGCTATAACCTAGGAAGTGATACCTCATGTTGTCATAGGAAATTTTATGGCCCAGAAGAAAGAGAAAACCTCTATGTTATTTAAAAATATATTTTTATAATTAAGTACTTAAATAACATTTAAAAAAACACAAACAAGAAAATGAAATAATATACTCATTTTCCTAATCACTAAATGACCACTATAAACATTTTGCTCTTTTTTTCTAATCATTTTCCATTGCAGAAGTTTGAGTTTTTATGTTGTTTTGTTTTTAAGAGACAGGGTCTCACCAATGTTGCCCTTGTCAGCCCTGAACTCCTGGGCTTTAAATCTTCTTGTTCAGTCTTCCAAGTCTCTGGGACTATAGGAGTGCACCACTGTACCACCCCAAACTTAAGATGTTTTAAACATAATTTCATCCATATGAAATAGTTGTTTTATGTTATACACCTATTTTCTAATATATATGTCTAGTATATGACATATTTTTCATGGCTCAATATTATTCTGTTATTATATATATTATATATATTATTCTATGTTATATATATATATCTATATATATATGTAT